CTCCCCCTCCTCCTTCTCCTCCTCCTCCTCCTCTGACCCAGGACTGGTACTTCAAGACCCCACTGGGCATGAAGAAGATAGAATTTAACAAGGACCTGGAGGCTGAGGAGGCCAGGCTGGCAAAGGAGAAGAAAAAACGGAAGTGACTGCTGAGGAATGCCCGAGAGGAGCGGTGGGACTGGGGCAAAGGGGCTGGGGGCAGAGGCATAAACTCCCAGATGGCTTGGGGACCAGCTCTCTTTGTCCATCTCCGTGCTTCCACCCCTTGTTCTGTGTCCCCTGGCTCCACCTCATACCCCACCCTGTCGAGTTTCTCCGATCCCAGATCTCTGTACTCTGACCTCACCCTGGTTCCCCCCTCCCTTTCTTCCTCGAGGTATGTAGGGGAGGAAAATGGGAAGAGAAGGAGAGAGAGAGAGAGAGAGAGAGAGAGAGAGAAGATCTTGGTAAGTAGAATGAGAAGGAAAAGCAGGAGTCTGGAGGTCAGCAGAGCCTGGTCCTGACCCCTGTGTGGGCTGCACAGTCCTTTCCTGACTTGGCCCCAGTGTCCTCACCGGTAAAGTAAGATGACCTCCGGCCGATCTCCTTTCTACTCTGGGGTTGGATATTCCTCCCAAGGTGTCTGGGAAGTCAGGGAGGTGGCGGGTGGAGAGGAGAAAAGGTTGGGAGATGGAGGTAGTTGTGACTGCTGCTAGATCCAGTGCCTTTTCTGAGTGGTCTTCACTTCCTCCTTCCTCTGGACACCTTCTCCCACCTGCCTTTGTCTTTGACCCAGAGCCTGGCCCCAAGGGGCTCAGTGAGCAGAAGTCCACCTCTGGGTCCTCCTTGTGGGGAGAGAAGAGCTCGGGGAACTCGAGTCAGGAAACTCTGGGGTTCTCCCGAAGAAGCAGTGTAAAGAGTGTGTGAATATGCCCTGACCGGTTTGGCTCAGTGGATAGAGCGTGGGCCTGTGGACCCAAGGGTCCCAGGTTCAATTCCGGTCAAGGGCCTGTACCTTGATTGCAGGCACATACCCAGTAGGGAGTGTGCAGGAGGCAGCTGATCGATGTTTCTCTCTCATCGATGTTTCTAACTCTCTATCCCTCTCCCTTCCTCTCTGTAAAAAATCAATAAAATATTTTTTAAAAAAAAAATAGTGTGTGAATAAAGGTGAAGGGTACTCCACAGGCTGTAAAGGCGATGAGAGCCAGGCGCGGCAAGGCGAGACCGCGGGGGTGGAGCTAGCTCCTATGGCAGAGGTGGCTCAGCTGGGCCCAGGGGATGGTTTGAGTTTTCTTTCTCCCTTTTTTCATTTTCTCTCCCCAAATGAAAGTCGCTTCATTATCCTAATGTGGGCAGAGCCCCTTCCTCCTTCTCACTTTCCAGCTGAGACCCTTCTGACCGTGGCAGGTAGAGAGGTGATGGGAGACGCAGGGGTCATCCACAGAGGTGGGGTCAGCACTAGGGGGCTGTGGGAGATGAGCACCCCGGAGGTACTGCTGCTGGTGGGACCCTGTTCCCCTGGGTAGAGTCTGTCCAGGTAAGAACCCCCGGAGGAGATCACTCATAGAGGGGCCTTCTCTGCAACTGTCCCTACTCTGAATCCCTCCCTTAGGTCTGGGAGGGTGACAGTGTGGGGCTAATTGGTGACATTTGGGAAAACAGGAAAAATTATGTGCACCCACCTGCCCTCCCTCGGCCCCAGCCGCTGGAGGCCTCTTGGTGGAGCACATGATAGATGAGAAAGAATGAGAAATGGCAGCTGG